TCTATCTATCTATCTATCTATCTATCTATCTATCTATCTATCTATCTATCTACATGCAGGCCTTTGTTGGAAAGTTTTTAAATTTTGTTTGTAATGAACTTTCATATGAACAAGCTCTTAAAATGCAGTATCTTTTTCCTTTAAAGTTATTGTGTAGAATAGATGCAAACTGTGGCAGAATTTATTTATTTGCAATATATGTATCTTGCCATAATAGTTTATATCTCTAGCTTTACCTTGTAATTGTTTTAGGACTGCTGATAATTCTTTTGGCACTGTAAATGCTTTAAGCATTTTGAAGAGAGATGCTTGTACAATGGTGGATATTTTAAAGTCATTTTAGTGGTAGAATGTTTCTTAAACGTGAAAACATGAATGGAGAAATTTTAAGACATCCAAATGTTGGTAGAAATGTAGTAGGTAGCATGTAGTGTGTTGTGAGGGGACTGTTTGTTGATAGAAGCAAAAATGGCTGTGAATTTTGTTATATGGAAGTGAAAGCTGGGTATGTTAGGAGAAACATAAAAGTAAATTGAATGGAATGGGAATGGAGTACTTAAGAAATGTGTGTAGTAAAACAAGGGGAATGGGATCAAGAATGAGTGGTGGCTTAAGGAATGTTCATAGACTACAAAAGCGACTGGCCATTCTGGTGGCTTGGGTATATGGGGAGAATGAATGAGAATTAAATTGCAGAACAAATATATGTAGGAAGAGTGAATGGTGTAGATGTAGATTTAGTTAGATTCTTATTTCTTTTTCTCTGACTTCCTGCCTTTAATTTTTTCTACTTAGTGCTTCTTACTCTTTTTCTGCACCTGATCTAACATTGCTAATCTTGAAAGAGAATAGCATGGTTGGTATGTACATATGTATATTTTAGATAAATAAATGCATGGTTCCTTCCAGTACATCCCAAAGTATTTCAGATAATTTTCAATGATCGTGCATTTGCAAAAGTCAAATTAATTCTTTCCTTTGTTTTGTTTTTTGCAACTAGGCCCGGTACAAACAGAGCCTGGATCCTACAGTAGATGAAGTTAAGAAACTGTGTACTTCATTGCGTCGAAATGCCAAAGAAGAGAGAGTCCTTTTCCACTACAATGGACATGGTGTCCCCAGGCCAACAGTGAATGGAGAAATTTGGGTCTTTAACAAGGTACATGAATTGCAAATTGAGCTAAATCACAGTCTCTCTTGTATATTTATATTTCTTGGGAATCCAATAAAGTAAAAAGCAATAAAAAGCAAAGTGTTAATGTTTGATTATGTAGCTGCTGTTTGTTCATTCTTTTGTGCACCTTGAGGTAAAGTTATGAACTTCTTATGTGTCTTTATGTGTTTGTGAGACACACAGACACACACACGCATACACACCTTGGAAAAGTTCTGGCTCTGGGTAAGCGGGTATACAGGGAGAACTTATAAAGAAGGTAAAGATTTGACTGAGATACAGCAGAATAGATGTACATGGTTCTGAGGTTGTCTCCGTAGATATGCTTACAGATTCACACGCTGATCTTCCAAACTTCCAGTAAGTAATAAATGATAAAGCAATGCTGCAAGAATAAAGGGATAATCAGAGGGAAACTTTTGTGAGCAAGGCAACCCTTTTCTTTCTACCCACAATGAGCATTGTCTCCCAGGGCCAGAAGTGAATAAGAAATGTGGGTCTCCAGTGAAATGTGATTTAGAAATAGAATTTCATCACTATAGTTCAGGACTATTTTAGCATTTAGCTAATTACTTTAACGTAACAAAGAATTAGATTCAATCAGCTGCTTAAAAACATTCAGAAATGGTCTTAGTGGCATGTGGATAATAAGGGAGAATAGTAATGCTATTCTGATTATGCTGCAAAAGCAAATGGAATATATTTTAAATTGGACTTTGTAACAACTGCATTATAAAAAATGTCTTTATTGCCCATTTGTTAATTAGCTTGCCAGTATTGCTCAGCTCTAATAAAGGTTGCTTTGGCTATTATTAGGATTCTTTTAAAGATTTCAAGTCCAGGTTATGATGGATAGCTGTTTTGCAATATCTTTGCTTCTCTGTATGCTTTCTTCCTGATAAAGATGGCAAAATACCCAAGGTAGAAAAGGTTTCCGTCCCAGTCCTAAGAGTATTTTGACCATAAGGAACACGCATAAGCCTGCAGCATCCCTACCTCTGCTGGTGAGACTTTGCAACAAATACCTGTCTAAAAAGTTGATGCAAAATGCAGTGGCTGGCTGACCCATGCAAGATGGAGTATATGGTGCCTATACTGAAAAAACTTCACTATCTGCTGTCTGCTTTAAAGTGAGCCCACTTTAAAGTGTTGGCGTTAAACATCTAAAGTTCTAAATAGCTTAAGGCATGTCTCCCTAAGGAACTACCACTGTCTGGCTGTTAAGATCTAGAAAAGAATTCCTTTGGAAGAAGCCCCCATTTTCTTGAGGCCTGGCTTTCTGATATGTAGGCTGCAGGGTGGTAGAACACATTCACCGGGGAGTTGTGTTTGGCTCCCTTTATCCACGGATTTAAAAAACCTGTCAAGATGCATCTTTTTTGCCAGGTTTTAATTGTTAAACTATTTTTCTACCTCTTTCAGTATTAATGTTAATTTATATTTTTAACTTTTTTGGGGGGGTTGTTTTTAATTTTGTTAGCTGCCTTGATTATTGTTAGAGTAGAAAGACAGTTATATTATGTTCCCTCATATTTATTTAGAGTAATGGTAATTTGAGCATCTATCATCAGGGCGGGGGGGGGGGAATGATAATTTGTTTCAGCAACTATTGCTTATTTCTGGCAACAAAGCCAAGTGTGCAACTATATTTGGTGCTGCTTGAAAATCCCTGCCTTTATTTGACTATGATGTTTTATGTCCAAATCCAGAAATCTTTCATATTATTTGTTTGTTTTGTCATTTTGCTCACTTACCAAGCAACAGAGATGCAAGGTAAGAGCAAAGGGAAAATAATACTACTTCACAGGGTAAAGAATTCTCTGTAGCATTTTCCTCAAAGTTGGCCTCCACCCCCCTCCACACCCCCCCCCCCATTTTCTAAGCTTTCTTGCTTAGATTTCTTGTGGCTTTATGAAGAAAAGAGCGTTAAAAGGGATATCTGCCTGTTTTTCTGACTTTAATGCAGGAGTACCTATTGCAGACACAACTCTTAATGAGATGCCTATTACCCACCCACAGGGAAAACAAACAATTAGTGAGCCATTTTCATTAAGTGTTTTTTTCCCCCCATCCCACTTCAGTTGCTGAGGAAATGCCAGCAAGTATTTTTACATCATTGACAAAATAGGGGCATTTACTGGATGAGTAAATTCTGTCTAGGGAAATATTCCAGAGAGATGGATTACAGGAAAAGCCATTCATACCCCAGTGGTTAGCTAAAATATCTTCAAGTCTCACAAGTAATTTGTTGGGCTAGAGTGATGGTGAGAGGGTAATCATTAGGACTGGGCAATGATCTGGATTCGAAAAGGAATAGGTGATTTGGAGCCAGCATAGATGTACACATCACACTTATCAGAGGGTGATGTGGCTGATTCTTGGCTGATGTGTGATCTCAGAGAAAAACACATTTTATTTAAAGAGGTGCCAACATGAGATGTGTGTGCTTATACATGTTCCCCTTTTCCCCTTTTAATCCAGGTCACTGCCCTGCTCTAGTAAGTATTTGTGTTTGATATCTTGAACGTCTGAGTTAAAACAGTCTTAAAATATTTACTGCAGGTTTAGAGCTACAGAAAAGTAGTGAAGGTAATAGTGGGATAGGATGCATTCCCTGTCTGAGATAGCTTTTTGTCAATGGGTTAAAAATTGATACTATCTTTTATTTCTGTAAAGTTATCTTTCTGAACTGCTGGAAAATCCCAAGAAAATATAGTGAGAGGTCTTGAAGTTAAAAGCCTTTCTTTTTCTTCTTTCGCGATGGTAGAAAATATTAACCAGCTTGCCCCTTCGAACAAGCATGTATTAAAGATGCTGAATGAGATTTCTGTCCTGCTAATTAGCTTTCCAGTAATAATGAACAGCTGAGATAGGGAGGCATCCCAACCTTTGACTACTGTGATAGTGTTTGGGATGACATACTAGTCACATAATCTCTTCGAGATGCAAAATTTCAAATGGCATGACTTGGGGATCAAATCTCTTATCAACAAATGATATACCATTCTACTCACTTGCAGAGAAGTGAAGGAAAAAAGCCAGACACCCTCCCTCCCCCCATATTTTTGTTCACTTGTTTCCAACAAATTAGAAATGCCAAAATATTGAAAAAATTGGAAACTTATAAAATTTGGAAAGATTTTGGAAAGAGTAAAAAAAAGCTCCAACAAAATATTTTGTTTTAGAATAATGAATGTAATAAGACAAGGTACTGGTATATATTTTCCCCAAGTGCTTTTGATCAGGGCTGTGCAGCAATTTCCCCTTCATGGATCACTGCCTTGTCGTGGCAAAGGGGCTTGCGTAACTCAGTGAAGCCATGAGCTATACCGTGCAGGGCCACCCAAGACGGACAGGTCACGACAGAGAGTTCTGACAAAATGTGGTCCACTGGAGAAGGAAATGGCAACCCACTCCAGTATCCTTGCCAAGGAAACCCTGTGGACAATGTCAAAAGGCTAAAAGATATGATGCCAGAAGATGCGCCCCTCAGGTCGGAAGGTGTCCAATATGCTACTGGGGAAGAGTGGAGGGCAATTCTGAGTAGCTCCAGAAAGAGGGAAGCGGCTGGGCCAAAGGCGAAAGGACGTTCAGCTGTTGATGCATCTGGAAGCGGAAAGAAGGAGCGGTGCGGCAAAGAACACTCTT